AAACGCTGCAGTTTCCCATCTGGCAGGGATCCCACGTTAAAAGGGGTGCTTTCAGATTTGAAAACCTCCCTGGATCAAGGCAGCCTGTGATCTCGCTCTGCTGAGTGTAGAAAGGGAAACAGAAAGAAATAGAAGGCTCCACAGACCCGTTTTCCTCCAGGAAGGTGAGGAAGGCACGCGTGTCTCTGAACAGAGCCTTCGAGTGTTAGTGGAAGCTGAGTGAGCCCGCCTGCGTCTGAGCAGAGAGGACGGAGTTAGTTCGGAGAGGGTGTGGAAGGGACTCCATGGCAGTGGGGAGCCCCGGGGGGGGGTGTCCCCTGCAGCACAGATGAGCTGTGAGGAGCTGAGGCATGGGGAGCCAGGCAGGGACCCCGCCCCCCGCCTGCACAGTGAGGGTGGGTCTGAAACACCCCACCCCAAACTGTCAGCATTTCCCGTATGTTCTGACTGAGGGAAGCCAGCTGGAAGTCAGACCCTCGCTTGGGAATGAGAGGCACACGGCTGAAATCTCGATATTAGGGAACTGGCAGTCGCCGCCGTAAATGCTAATTAAATCCAAGCCGGGACTGTCCCCTCCACACACATTCATTCACGCTCCCCCGCCAGGCGCCTGTGTGCCCGTCCATTCATTCATTCACTTGAAGAAATGAACGTAGCTGATGGATGGCCAAGTGGGTGAGCTCTCTGTTCCACCCCTCCCCGAGTCCAGCCTGGACACTGAGTGCCTGATGCGGTGCTAACGGGCATAAAAGCTACAGCAGCAGAGTGACTGGCAGCTGAGCCCTCTGCTCTGGTCTCTGGTTCACACTCCCCACACCACTTACAGTGGGAACCCCAGTTTTACTAGTGGGGATATTAAGACCCAGAGAGGTAGAGGGTCTCTCAAAGTCACACAGTGAGGGGAAGGTCAAGCTGGGAGTGACACTCGGTCCATCTGCAGAAGCCATGCCCTGGGCCACCAAGCTCGCTGCGGCCTTGCTTAGCGTGGATGGTGGCAGGTTCAAGGCTCCGGGATATCGAGGTTTTGAAAAGATGCCTCCAGATCGATTCCAACTCCGGAGCCTCTCCCCGTCTGTAAGCCTTTATATGGAGAGGCCGATTATCTATATTTCACAGCACACCTAGTGGGTTTGAACTGCTAACCTTTTGGTTACCAGCCCAACATGTCACACAGCGCACCACCAGGGCTCTTTGTGGAGGTCTCTTGGTATGTGACATCAAGTCGAGTATGACTCATAGCGATCCTGCGAACAGCGAACCCTGTCCCACCCCAATCATCTGACTCAAGGTTACCTCAGTCTCCTAGGGTACAGTCCCCCCAAACCTCTTCCACGGGGAGCACTTACAAGGGTCCTGCAGTCTCAGAGGGCATGCTGCTGATTGCAGAGGACCTGAGTTCACTGGACCCAGCTCCTTCCCTCCCGGGGCCGGAGGTGGTCTCTGTTGGGCTGAGTCAACCTGGAGCGAGGTGTGCTGGGCTGAGCCTGCCTGGAGCAGTGTGTGCCGGGCCAAGCCAGCTTGGAGCAGGGCATGCTGGGTGGTGGCCTGAGTGAAGAAGGACCCCAGTGCATGTGCACCCATCACAGCAGCTGCAGCTCTGCCTGCACATGGGCTCTGCGGGGCGGCTCCAGCCTCCTCCACACCTGCCTCCTCCACGTCCCCTGCCTCACATGAGGTGGACCGAAGAGACCTCTCCTCTGGAGTCTTGACATTCTGAGCTGTGACCTTGCACAGTAGTCCCTGGATGGCACAAGCAGTTAACTGCCAACCATAAGGTGGGAGGTTCGAGTGCACCCAGAGGCACCTGGAAGCAGAGGCTGATGATGGATCTACTTCTGAACAACCAGCCACTGAAAGCCCTAAGAGCAGGGGAGGCCACGTGGTCAGAGCTGGCCCCATGGTGAGGGTGTGTGGTCAGAGCTGGGTCCACGGTGAGGCCATGTGGTCAGAGGTGGCCCACAGTGAGGCCACGTGGTCGGAGCTGGCCCTATGGTAAGGGTGTGTGGTCAGAACTGGGCCCACAGTGAGGCCACATGGTCGGAGCTGGCCCCATGGTGAGGGCACATGGTCAGAGCTGGCCCCATGGTGAGGGCACATGGTCAGAGCTGGGCCCATGGTGAGGGCACATGGTCAGAGCTGGGCCCACAGTGAGGCCACGTGGTCGGAGCTGGCCCCATGGTGAGGGCACATGGTCAGAGCTGGGCCCATGGTGAGGGCGCGTGGTCAGAGCTGGGCCCATGGTGAGGCCACGTGGTTGGAGCTGGCCCCATGGTGAGGGCACATGGTCAGAGCTGGCCCCATGGTGAGGGCACGTGGTCAGAGCTGGGCCCACAGTGAGGCTACGTGGTTGGAGCTGGCCCCATGGTGAGGCCACGTGGTCGGAGCTGGCCCCATGGTGAGGCCACTTGGTCAGAGCTAGCCCCACGGCAGCTGACAGCCTGTGGGTCAGAACAGAACCACTTTCCTCCTGCTCGGCTGCAGCTCCTGAGTGCTCTGGGATAGATAGCCTCTCAGGAGTGGACATCCAAGGCTTTTTGGCACAGGTTCCAAGGTGGCTCCTCCTGCCTGGTCGACCTGCAGCTGATTGGAAAGAGAGTTTAAGTGAGGAGATGAACTAGGGAGAGCAAGCAGTGACAGAGCCCACACAGACCACCTGCCCCAGGACGTTGTGTCCTTCAGTGTGGCCGTAACATCGTTGGCGGAAGCCAGCCATCCACTCACCCCTCCATCCATCACCTCACCTGTGTGTCCACCTAGCCAGCCAGCCGCATGCCGCAGCATCCACCCGTGAGAATCACAGCTCACTGCAGGTGCTCACTTTAGTGAGCTGGGAGAAGCACCCATCTCTCTTACTGGGTGCAGAAGAGATCTTGTGACCCAGCCCATCCTCTGTACAGAGGAGCCCTGGCGGCACAGGGGTTAAGTGTTCAGCTGCTAACCCGAAAGTCAGCAGTTCCAATCCACCAGCTGCCTCTCAGGAGAGAGACAGGCACAAATCTTTTCTAATAAAACTCCCTTTGCTTTCACCTTAAAAACAATAACAACCAAAACAACCATGAGATATTATCCCAGTCAGAATAGCAAAAGTTAACAGAACAACAAACATCAAATGCTGGTGAAGTTGTGGAGAAACTGGAACCCTTAGTCACTGTTGGAGGGAGTGTAAAATGGTGCAGCCACTATGGAAGGCTGTATGGTGCTTTCTCAAAAAGTTGCAAATAGAGACACCATTTGACCCAGCAATTCCACTACTGGGAATATACTCTAAAGAAACCAGAACTGCCACCCAAGCAGATATATGCACACCCATGTTTATCACGGCTCTGTTCACAATAGCAAGGAGTTGAAAACAACCCAGGTGCCTATCATCAAATGAATGGATAGAGAAGCTGTGGTATATTCACACAATAGAGTAGTATGTTGCATTGAAAAACAAGGAACTCATACACTATTGTATAAAATGGGTGACCCTGGAGGACATTATGCTGAGTGAAACCTCTTAGTCATAAAAGGACAAATATTGCATAAGGCCACTGTTGTAAAATGGGACTGACATAGGGGTTGAGGGAAGACAGAGAAAGATACGAGGAATGATGTATACTGCATTGAAACTGATGAGGGAGAGAACTATTTAAAAGGGAGATGTGATTAGGAATTATTGTCATGACAGGAGTCCAGAGTGAAGGCTACTTAGTGGAGTGGACCTGGGGGGAGGGATTGTGTAACAATGAAAGAATTTTACTTTTCAAAGAGAAGAGCAAATTGGAGGAGGGGAGGTTGGGCAGGGAGAAATGTGCAACAATGAATGAATGAATGAATGGAAACCCTAAGTCTCAGTAAACTTTCATTAAAATTAATTTTTAAAAAGGAACAAAAAATTGCTGGGTCAAATGGTATCTTTATTTGCAACTTTTTGAGAAAGTGCCACAATGCTTTCCACAGTGGTTGCACCATTTAAAAAAAAAAAGGAACAAAAAAATAATAACAAAAAGTTTTGCAGCCTTAGACGCCTGATGGGGCAGTTCCACTGTTTCCAAAAAGGTCCTTGGAGTTAGAATGGACTTACCTGTGTTTAGGTTGGCTGGTGTGAGCCTTTACCGGGACAGTGTTCGTGGCGTAGGGTGTTAGGTGTTGCACTCCTAACCGAAACGCTGGTGGGATCTGCCAGCTGCACGGTGCAAGGCAGGTGAACAGTCTCCTCCTGTGAAGGCTGGCCGGCTCCAAGCCCTCGGTACAGTGAGCTTGACCTTCACACCAGTGGATTTGTCTCTATGAAAATAGAACCCCATGGCTTACTTCTGTGAAGTCACTAAGTGGACTTCAACCACCAGCTTTAGATTTGTGGTAGCGAGCAGAATGTCTGTGGTGCCCAGGGACCTCTGTCTCGATGTGCAGTGTTGGAATTCCAACATTGGTTTGGGGGATGTGCCGTTGAACCTAAAGCTGCACTCTCCTTCCTGTTCTCAGTAGTGGGGAGGCTCAGCACCTGGCAGGCGATGCAGGGATGGCCACGTTGGAAGTCTTCGCTGGCTCGTCCTTGGGCTCAGGTGCAGTGTCACCTGCTGGAGGTTCTTCCAACAGCAGGAAACACCGCGTCTAGTTGTGCTGGCTGTTGGCCAGTGAGCAGATGTGGTCTCTCTGTGGATGGAAAGCGGTGTCCTGCGGTCTCCTCATGCGGCATGCTGGCCCTCCGGCTCAGTCCACAGAGTGAAGAGACCAAAGTCCCTGTGCCACAGATGGCAGCCCGAGTGCTCAGGGCTCAGCCCCGTCCAGGCCCACGAGCTCCGTGGGACGTTGCTCCTGGCCCACGTTTGCCACCAAGGCTCAGCTGCCATGTGTTCCGATCAGGAACTAGACCTGCCCTCCCTCCTCTTCCGCACTCCAGGCCCACGAGCTCCGTGGGACGTTGCCCTGACCCACAGTTGTCACCGTACCTCGGCCACCGTGTGTCTGTTCCGATCCTGAACTCGACCTGCCCTCTCTGCTCTTCTCCACTCCAGGCCCACTTACCCTCCTGGTGCCAGCAAGGACCCGCTGTCCGCCTTCGAGCAGCCGGGGCCCAAGCGGAAGCTGTACAGCGCGGTGCCGGGCCGCCTCTTCGTGGTCGTCAAGCCATACCAACCCCAGGTGGACGGCGAGATCCCCCTGCACCGAGGCGACAGGGTCAAAGGTCAGTGTTCCTGGGGCAGAATCAGGCTAGGGGGCACTCAGCCTCAGTGTGTCCCCTCAGGGGGCCTGCTGGTCAGCAGAGTCCAAGATGTCCACTCTGCAGGGTGCTCTGTGGCGGGCAGGCGTCGGGGCAGGGTGAGGCTGACCAGTCCCCTCCCTCACCGTCTCAGAAGCAGCCATCAGTGCCCGTGTGTCTGAGTGTATTGTTAATGGCTCTGGTTGGTTGTGACTCAGTGACCCTGCGGACAGCACACTGCTGCCCCCACCCCAACCTCATGGCCGTTGCTCTTCAAGTTCATTGTTACGGCTGCTGTGTCAGTCCGTCTCCTGGGGGATCTTCGGTGGATCCTCTCATTTACCTGATGTGATGTCCTTCTCCTGGGCCTGGTCCCTCTAGTGGTCAGATATGAACACTCCTCGGTAAAGGATTCCACTGTGTGGGCCTTAGGGCCGAGCTCTTCCCTCCTGAAGACATGGCCTCAGGCAGGTCCCAGGCGGCTCAGACTTGGTGTCAGCAGGGAGCGGTGTTCACGTGGTCGGCGCAGTGGGGCCCACAGCGAGGAGGCCTGCACGGTTCAGAGTTGAAATGTGCCCTGGGTCCTGGGCTGGAGGGAGAGTCCACCCTGCAGAATTCTGAGAGCTACAGTAGAAAAGCCGTCTGAGGGTAGCTGAGTTAGACCGTTCCTGGGGGACTGGGGAGCCATTGTGGTTCCTGTGTACCCGAAAGATCTCCTCTGTGAGAGGGAGACGCTCACTGTGATGGCGTGATTAGACCGAGGAAGGTTTGCAGGGGTGAGAACCAAAGACCATGTCACCGAAGGCCGGGAGTAAAGGTCAGAGTAGAGACAGGTGGGGCTGCGCAAGCACACAGGTGGTGGGAGCAGGAAAGGGCGCGCTCAGGGCTCCCAGCCATGCCCAGGGTTGCTTTGGGGGAAGTTTTCAGATGTACAGGGTAGAAGGTATACAGCTTCGGAAGCTGCCTCCCCTTCCCCGCTGACTACCTGTTAAATGCCGAGCAGGTGATTGAATCCCTTCCCCTCCCTGGATCACACACCGCGCAGGCTGTGCTCACCCCCATTACCCTGAGTTTCCAACCACACACACACACACACACACACACACACACACACGCACACGCGCGCATTTCATCAGCTGAGAGATCAGACAGGCCGGTGAGGCTCGCTCCTCCCTTCACCTCAGGGGATTTCTGCTGACCTCCTTTCCGCCGACCTATTTCCGGTCCACTTACTCTTTCCATTCAGATGTCCTTTAGCTACCGTTAGAGTCCATTCTGTGAATTCTCCGTGTTCCAGAAATGGGAGGGTGTCTTACATTCTAGAATTATAAGTGTTTTGTTTGCATGTTTATTTTCATCTGCCATGACCTGCTGTTGCTCATGCTGAAACTGTAATTTAACCAAATGAAATCTTGTTCTTCAACCTTGTCAGCTGGCGGAACCCCCACATCAAGGTCATTACCTGTAGCCGTATCTTTAAGTCCATCTTAGGCTCCGTTTCTTTTCTTCTGGATATTTATTCACTCACTTGATCATTGCTGTCAAGTTGGGAGTAAGTCATAACTGAGCCTGCGTTTCAGAACATGGAAGTCATGTGGATGGACATTGTCCATCTGTCTGTCTTCTGAGGAGTTCCTGGTGTGGTGGGAACCCCAGCAGTGTTGTTTAGGTTGACAGCACAGCTCCTTCAGGCCACACCTCCGAGTCTGTCTGTCTGTCTGTCTCTCTCTCTCTCTCATAGCCATTTTCTTCATTCTTCACACGTGTAGTTATTTTGGGTTGTATTTTGGACATAATGTATCCTAAGTTGTGGAGATTCTGGCTTTTTCCTCAGGGAACTTATTTCTTTTGGTTTTTGTAGATAGTTTTCTTGGCCAAGCTTTCAAAGAAACGCTTTCTTTAATCAGTGGCAACTACATGCTCAGCTCAAATCTTGTACTTGCTCTAAGTTGACTCTCCAGAGTTGCTTTCAGGCGGTGTTGTTAGGATGTTAGTCTTAAGGATATGGATGAAGAGATGTGGGAGACTGAGTTTGCTGAGTCCTCTCTGCTCTCTCTGCCTTTTTCTCTTGCTTGATTCTCTTGCTTTCTTAGAATTCATGATTTCCCACTTGTTCAAACATTCTTCTAGGTCATATAGCCCTTGGTGTGTCCACTTGCTGTACAGAGGTAACTTGTGGTCACTATGAAGCTGAACACTGTGACACTGATATGTCACATGAGATAATGGTTACCCATGGTGGACAGTGTTTGGTGGCATTCCCTAGGTGAAACAAGCTTGGAAGCAGGAGTAGCCTCGACTTCTGTAATAGCTTGCCTCCAGAAACCCTATGAACCTGTTGAAAGGATGAAACACACACAAGTGTTGAGGACTTTCTTTCATAGGGTCACTATGAGTCGCCTACAACTCGATGGCACTTAACAACAACACAACAACATGGGTTGAATTCGAGAGCTCTAGCGGCTTCTTGTTTTTTGTTGCTGTTGGAACCGACCCATGGCTGACCCTTCAGCGGATTTTCAGGGGCAGTAAGTGTCGTGGGAGGAGATAGCCCATCCTTCTCCTGCAGATTTGAACTCTGCCGTTGAGAGCTTACCTCTGGTGGCCTCGTGGTCAGGAATTGCACTGCCAGCACAAAGGTCCGGCTCCACCAGCTCTTCTCTGATAGCAGGATGGGCAGTCTCCTCCTGTGCAGTTTACCGCCTCCGCAAGCCTGCTGGAGGGTCAGCTGTGGGCTGGTTCTGACCCGACTGCACACAACAACATGGATTGAATTTTAAAGGAGCTGCGGTGGTTTTTTAGTCTTGGCTTTGATTTTTATAGTTTGTTGGTTTTTTTTTTAGTGGCTTCGTGTTTAATGTGTCCGACTGTTCACCAGTGGGCAGATAGTTGAAGCCACTGACACTTCGTGGGAGAAAGATCCGTAATCTCCCTTGTATAGGCTTATCGGCTCAGAAGTCCCAGTGGAAGGGTGTCAGCAGGCAGATTGGATTCCCTGGCAATGAGGTTACAGATCGAATTACATTTTCCCCACAATACACACTATAATTCCTAACCTCTCTGCCTGCAGTTGCTTTCCCATTTGGGAATAGCCTGTCTTTGTTATGTTAATGAGAGAATTAATGTAGGGTGCATCTTCAGTTAGTCTCTTCTGAGCTATAAAGGAGATTAAACTAGCAAATGAGTGAAGTGGAGTGAGTGAGTGAGTGAGAGGTGTCAGGTCACATGAAGGTCCAGGAACAGAACCTCAGCCAAGCAAAGGCCCTTCCCTAGGCTCCACGGAACAGTCCTTCCAGAGCTGACACCCTGAATGAAGACTTCGGGCCTTCGAAGCAGTGAGAAAGCGCGACTCTGTCTGCTGAGGCCACCCATGGTGGTCTGTCTGTCATAGCAGCGCTGGAGAACAGAGACTGTCTTTACCTTCCTGGTTCCTCAGTGCAGAGGGATGCAGGTGCTTCCCCGTGTGTCCCCCCCGCCCCCATCCTGCTGTCGTGACTGGTTAACTCCCTGACAGTCATTATAGTACACAAAGGCACAAACCCCTGCCTGGCCCTCCCCACACCACCCCTAGGATCAACTCTGGATCGGACTGTGTGAGCCACCGGGTTTTCATTGACTGACATTTGGAAGGAGCTGGCCAGGCCTTTTTTCCTAGTTCCCCTTTAGCCAAGATCTGCAGTGAAACTTGGTTAGTGTTGTAGCAACACACAGGCCTCCAGAGACAGGCAGGAGGTGGCCGTGCATGCAGTGCACCGACAGGGGTGGGAACCAGGTCACCCAGGTGGAAGATGAGAATTTGACCCTGAACTTGCACCCAGCCTGCACCGAGCCCAAGCTAGTAGACATGGAGTAGGAATCATTCAGTCGCCTGCTCCCCTCCTCCAGACAAGCACCCACTCCCCATCTGAGCCTGGCCGCTCCCACTCACCTCCCAACACGTTCAGGGGCTGCTGTCCACAGACAGCAACTACACACATCCTTGGCCTCCATATCTCCAGGTCTTACCTCACCATCCACCCCCAAGTCTTCACCACATACCCCAAGTCCTTACCATGCACTCCAAGCCCTCACCATGCACCCCAGGTCCTCACCATGCACCCCCACATCCTCACCATGATCCACAAGTTCTCACAATGCACTCCCAAGTCCTGGGGACTTAACAGGCTGGCAGGCTTCAGGCAAGACAGAGAAGGACCCAGAAAAATCAATCCAGGCTTGTTGGCCAATCTCTCGGAGCCCCAAGCTACTTCACATCTGAGAAGATGAGAGTTGGGCCGCCAGTGGAAGCCAGCATGAGTGAGCGCCTGCTGTTTACCAGATACAGCGCGTGACAAGTTACACATGTGACTGTATATGAACCACACAATGAGCACGGCCAGAGGTATCGGGTCTTGTCATTTACAGGTGTGTGTCAGGGTGAGAAATCTCCCCACCACCCCAGCTCGCAACTGTATTCAGGAATGCCTGTTCCCACCTGGACACAGGTGTGTCTCATTGACGGCCACGAAGTCAGATCCCTCTCCTTCTCAGTGACCCTGCAGGACAAATAGAACTGCCCCATAGAGTTTCCAAGGCTATAAACTTTTATATGGAAGCATATGTTCTCATCTTTCTACCATAAAGCTGCTGGGTTTGAACCACTGACATTTTGGATAGGACATAAGTGCCTTAAGAGCAGTGCTGTCAGGGGAGCTCTGGTGGCCTAGAGGTAAGGAGCTGCAACTACAATCCCAGAGGGCCCCCTGTTCAAATCCACCAGGTGCTCTGCCGGGAAAGGAGGGACAATCTCCTCCTGTACCAGTCAGATCTGATTTGACGGTACACTCACACAAAATAATAAAAATAATAATAATAATAATAATAAAAAAGAGAAGTGCTGTCAGAGTACCTGACGGGTAAGGCCATGAGGCACATAGTCTTGCCCTTGAACATGTGAGTGCACAAAAGGTCACGTGTGCAGGCTCTGATGTGTGGCTGGCCCAGAG